CGACCTTCGAGGCGAAATCAGTTTAGCGTGTTTTTTGACATCCGCGGAGTCTATAAGTCGCGTGACGTCCGCGCGTAGACTGTGCACGACCCGAGTTGCGTCTGGAAAAACCGAGCAGAGAACCGGTCCAACCTATGAGCTGGCGAACAAGAAGGCTTAGACCCCGAGCCAAATCCACCCGGCAGACCGTAGACTCCCCGCGCTGGGTCAGCACCCCTAGCACGGGGAGTCGGGGGCAATTGATGTAGGGTGGTTTGGCCCGACCATGTAGCACGGGGACACGTGGACATGACCTAGCATAAGCGACAACTCAGTGTGACAGCCTGGCCACAACCCGGCGTAACAAGCTCGCCGAGGCCCGACCAAACGACTCGGCGGGTGTGACAACCCGCCGAGAAGCAAGGCCCAGTTCGCTCCAAGCCTGAAGGCGGAGCTCCCCGAGCTCCCCCGTGCAAGGGGATCTGAGCTCCTCTTGAGACCTAAGCTCCTCCTAAGGGGCCCCGAGCTCTCCCTTTCTAGAAGGGAGCATCCCAGATTCTGGCTAAGTGTCCTGAGAGAGAAACACCTCGGGGCAGCACCGTCGAGACTCCTGCTCGAACTTGCTTAAGGCTCGCCTCCAGCGAGGGCACCTCGGTGTACCTCGGCACCTCCTTGCAAGGCAAATCTGCCCCAAGTGGTTCGGTGTACGGTAGCTCGGAAGACTGCAGGGAGATCTGCCTGACATCCGTACCTACCGGATCTGGTGGCAATGCTCGGATCCCATGCTAGGCGGCATTCTGCCTGCCGTCTCTGAAAAGCATGGCACGCCTGTCGAGTCTGTACCTTGCAGTAGTAGCCTGTGGCAGCAGCCTACACCTGCCACCCCTGCCCTGGCGGTAACGACTAGGGCAGTGGCGGTTACGCCTGATGTGACCGAGCTCTGGTATAAAAGGACCCCAACCCTCACGAAGCAAAGGTATTGAAGCTAGCACTTTCAGCACTCTTAACTCTCTGTGTCTTCTTTGAGTTTCCTCAAGAGTTCTAACTTAGCCATCGGAGTGTTCCCACCGGGAGAGCTCCCCACAAACCCTTCACCTTCCTCTTCCTCTCAGGTGTCGTCCGTCACAGCTAGGAGCCAAGTCTCAGCCAGCTAGGAGTGCCCAGATTGTGCTGCATCACCTACATTCCTGGTAAAGAAAGCAAATGTAAGTTTACAAGGAGTACAAATACAAATTATATGTACAGTGCAAATACATATAAAATAATACAAAATATAAGTTTTGCACTCTACGTATTTGTATTTGTATTCCTTCCAACGATTTGATTCACAGGAATAGAAGGTTTGGAATCGAAATTGGAATGGACTATTCCGATTCCAACTGTTTGATTGGGTGGTTTCGGAATCCCATTCGCATTCCTGTTGGAATGGCATTCCCCCATTTGAGGGAACGGCCATTCCCTGTCTCTTCCTTAGAAATGAAATTCCATTCCTACTGATTTCAATTCTCATTCTCATTCCTGTCTAGACCAAATAGGCTATGGAAATGGACCATTCCAATTCCGGTTCTAGCTATGAACCAAAGGGACCCTAAGATAGAAAAAAAAAATGCTTGTAAACTGAAGTGTTTTGACCGTTAACCTAAAAATATCCTAAGCTCAGAATCCCACAATGTTTGATGTTGTTTGGATCGTTATAGTGTAATCCCAAATTAAAGAGTGCTATTAAAAGTATTTCAATTCCAATATAACATGGACATAGACCATGGTTTTGAAAATTGGATTGGGCGGTACAGTCAGACTAATTGACCCAGAAACCWGTCAGGCAATCAGTTCTGTTTTACCTTAAAACCATTCTTGGTCCAAAAAACCATTGATTTGGTCAGCGACCCACTAATTTAGGCAGTCGTATCGTTGACCTGTCGAACCATACATTGATTTTTGGCCTTTTATTTTAATTATTTTTTTACTTTTAAATTTTTTATTTGTAAGTTAAGGTGGTCAGGCTACATTCGAGAGTCTCCTTGAAAGATGGAGGAAGACCAGGTACARGAGGTAGGTTCAGAGGCTAGGGTAAACGGAAGTAATAATGCGACAGGGTAAAATGATTGGATGAATGAATGATCTCGTTATAGGATGGACTCTCATTTATAAGAAGGGATCCCGAGGCCCCAAAAGGAAGGAGTCAAAAGTATTTGATTCCCACTAGGAAAGGGAATATTGGATTCAATGTCAGTCATTAAGGAGCACTACTAGGGTTTCGCTACGTGTCTTATGAGATTTCTTAAGGGCAAACTTTCCTTTCATCCGAGGATTCTCATAATTCGCGTATACTACTTCCTTTCGTGACCCATTTAACCGACATGGCATTGGTGACGACATCGTTTGGCGGGCGCACTTCTATTAAACCTACATGGTGCTTTGTCACGCGTGTAACTTAAGGTTGCACGTGTGGCCGATATTTAATTATGGTTTACTGTATCCATGGCTCTGTAATAGTCTCGGATTCATCACAAAACCACGAGAGACTGAAGTTCATCACAGAATTATGCGCATCCGAGGTTCGTCACAGGACCGCGTGTGTCCAAGGTTTATCGCAGAACCGCGCACATCTAAACTTCATCGCAGATTCACGTTAGCCAAAGTTTGTCTTGACTCGTGTCGAGTACGAGTTTGTCTTGACTCGTGTCGAGTACGAGTTTGTCATGAACGTACAATGAGTTGTATTCTCATCGCAGACATTGGATGAGCTATAAGCTCATCACAGGTAACCGATGAGCTATACGCTCATCACAAGCATCCATGCGAAATCCCTTTAGTATCTTCTGTATTTTGTTGGTCTAACCGATCACTATGTACCTACATTATTTTTAATTAGAATGGACCATCTATTCAAACCGAACGATTAAACTGTTTGACCCAAAAACCGATAACCAAAACGGTTGTGTGTCATGTCCCATTTTTAAAACCTTGATATACTATGTACAAATAATAGATAGGAAACACTGCTTTGAGCCATATCCCAAGGTGGGCGTATGGCTATGTTTCAATATCATTTTGCCCTCCCTGTATTTCTACAAGCATCAGAACAAAAGCCAAATTTTAATAAATCAACCTTAATTCTCGCTGTATCCATAGAATGATTCGAAAAATAATATCTAATATCCCAAATATCCCCACCAAAAAGAGAATGAATTGTATCTTGGGGCTTCCATAATTAATGGAATCTTTTAAAAATATTGAAGAGAGAATTGGCAACAAATTAGTAAATTGGAAAAAAAATACTCTCCCACTAGATGGTAGAATCACCTTATAAAAATCATCATTTGCATGATCCCTCATTTTCTCATGTGGACCTTTAATTTCCCTAGAGGTTTGGTTGATAATTTTAATTAGAAACAAAGATCTTTCCTATGGGGAAAGCAACAAAATAAAAAATCAATTAACTTGGTTAAATGGGACACCATTTGTAAACTTAAAACAGATGGGGGTTGGGCACTCAAGAATCTGCTATGGATGAATGTGGACTGCATAGTAAGCTTGGGTGAGAAGTTGTAACACAACCCAATAACCTATGCGTTATGGTAATCAAGGACAAATATATATTAAAAATAAAAATTTTGGGTAATAACGAAAAAATACAGAAAAAAAGTATTCTCTTGAGCGTGAAGAGGAATTCTAAAACACAGAGAACTATTAAAGAACGGTATTGGTTGGCAAGTAGGCAATGGAGAATCCATTAACTTTTATTTTGGACCAATACTTGGTTGGATAGCAATCCTCTTAGTCTCTACAAAAATCAAAGCCAAGGAGAGGAAGACCATAAACTTGGTGAGTTTATTACCAAAGAGAATAAGATGTGGAACAAAGAAAAGATATTGCAAAACCTACCTTCTTCAGTTTAGAGCCAATACCTTCCTCCATTACCCATGTTTAGAGCCAATAGCCAACATGGAGAAATTCTGATCAAGGAATAACTAACCCTTATGAGAAAGAGGATATTGGGGAATGGAGGATGAAAAGTATAGACAAATATAGTAAAAATTTAAGGCCCCGTTTGTTTTTTGGTAAGTTATTTATCCGGGTAAATGCAGTTATTTGGATAAATTTTTCCTAGAAAACACTTACCCGGGTAAGTACATTTACCCATGTTCTTTTTATTTCTCATGTAAATAAGGCAATGACCATTTTATCCATAAAAATTCATTATTAGAAAAAGCATTTTTGTCCCATTCAAGTGTTGGCAACTTTCCCCTTAGGTGGGAAAGTTATTTATCTACCTAGGAGATGCACAGGTAAGTGATACCCAAAAAAATAAACTTTTCCTAATCCCCACATAAATCTGAAAAAATAATATATGATTCTTAGTCAATGAAAACCAAAATCTCATTGACCAACTTTTCCCCTCTCAAAATCCGAAAAAAAAAACCCTAAAACTTTTTCCTTTCAAGGATTAGCTAGTGCACTCCCGTGAAAAAATAGACAAATAAGTCTACCCCAATCAGGAGAATGCCAGAACATTTAGTAGAGATTTTCTCCAGGCTTGTCACAAGTCATAAGGCTCCAATAGTAAGCCGGATAATCTATAAGCCACATCAAATGGAAACCACGGAAAGAAGGTTGAGTCAAGGTTAACATCGTACCAACGGGAGTGTGGGGTGGGAGATCCACATGCACCATAATCAAGGTTAACTTCGATGGGTCAAGGAGAGATGATGGTAGGTGTGCCATTGGAGTATTTGCAAGAGATGAATTTGCCACTCTTCACTCTCAGCAAGGATATAAGTAGTCCCCTTTTGTGCATGATGAAACTCCCAAGGAATTTGTTATTGGAAGAGGCTGAAATACTGCGGAAATACGCTGATAGGCAGGCGGCCTAGTGTATTTTTGTTTTTGTTATTACATAGATATTTACTGGTTCTCGTGCGGTTTGATTGTCAGTTCGTCACACGGTGAAGAATTTCCCCCGGAAGAGGCATTGCTTTTCCGAAGTAGCAGACACAGTAGTTTGCACATTTGGTCAATAAAGTGTTCAAGGTACTTCACGTAGTAGTAGTATTCACTTTGCAGCAGACAGATCAAATATGATACAAAGAGAATGATGCTAAATAAGTAAAGATACAAATACAATGCCATTTGATGATTTGCTGATTTATTCCTACATCTTCTAACAAGTATACGAACGAGGCTTTCATAATTCTTCCAAGATGCAAATATCAACACGGGAAAACAAGTATAGGAAAAGAATAAAGAATGATACGATAAATATGAGGAAAATACAAATGGGGGAGTCACATTAGGCCTCCAGCTAACTTGACAAATACGCAAACCTCCGTATCAGCCTCCACGCAGATTAAGGTATTGTGATGAATGTGTGAATCCCCACAACTGCAGACAAGAGCAACAGATGAATCAATCACAAGAAATAAGTTTTAAATCGAAGAGGAATATAAGGGTGCTTTGGAAAAATATAACTCGTAAAAGATGCAAAGTGGTTCTTTTGCAACAAAAGGTCAATAAGAAATGTACAACCTTGGCATTTATACTGACGTATCTGTCCATTTTCCTTTGCTTATCCTCTTTGAAAATTTAGATCTACTGAGATGTTTTATCATCCTTCTTAACACTTAAAACTAGAATCTTTTTTTTTTTTTGTAGGAATCAAAAACTAGAATCAATGTTAAGGAAATAGCTTAAGAAATTTATCATATAATAAGTTTGGCCATCTGGGGACAGGGGACCACGAAAACTTGGTACATAAGGAGCTCATTACTTTTTTTGGCCATGGGCAACTCGTTACTGTTTTGTGAAAACCAGTGACAAACAATACATTACTGTATGGTCAAATAAGCTTTGAACAATTAATTCTGTTTAGCTCAGTTTGGAAGGAGTACAAATGCAAATATGTAGAGTGCAAAACCTTATMTTTTGTATGTATTTGCACTGTACATATTTGCATTTGTACTCCTTCCAAACTGAGCCTTAGTCTTTTTTTTTTTTTTTTGAAGAAAAAAATTCCATAAGTATGGTGAACAAGATGCTATACTACTTGTATACTTTTTTTTTCATTTTATAAAATTTTCGTTTTATTATCAAAAATCAAGAAAGCATGACAATTCACAAAAGGCCTAAAAAATCGTTAAAAAACTATTAGAACCTAGTAAGTCTGCACATCATTTACACATGTATGTAAAATGTATAACGGCAAGCCCATCCTCAAGAAAGATTTAAAAAAGAAACAACAGACAGGTGGAAGGCGGTCATTATAGGAAAAAAAAAAAGTCATTCACACATATGTCCTGCTTTTCATTTACAATGGCAGGTGAATTTAAGCATTTAGCACCATTATCATCATCTAAACCTTCTTCCAACTATATGGGTGGGCTACATGAATCCTGTTTCACCATTCCATTCTGTTTGGTGCCATACCCAATAGTAAATTATGAGCATTGAAACCATTTCTTACTACAAATCATATCCTTTTCAGTCTGCCCTAACTCTTCTAACCTTTTTTTTTTTTGATCAATAACACTTTCATTAATCATCAGTAGAATATTTACAGGAGGAAGACAAACACACTTATCTTCCAAGAGTCACTAAGAGCCTCATAAAAGAAAGAAAAAAGAAGAAAAAGAGAAAAGAATACAGAATACACTAAAGTTACAGCTTAG